TAATCTAAGAAAGCATCGCACAGCTACAGGTTTTCTTTATTGCTATATAGAATTGATTTTTATGCAGGACACACACGCATTGTATAGGATACCTGCAACATGACCACTAGGTGTCACTACTGGCAACGCCAACATTAAAACAAGCGCTTGGCGTCCAGGACTGCTTTAAAGAATACCACCAAACTGAAGGATATGAAAATACTTTTATAAATGAGGCCTTTAAAAATTCAGAGGAGTAGCTTTGAAGACCTATGTGCACAGGAAAGTAGCCCAGTGCCATGGACATGATTCATAGTGAAGTACTTCCTTTTAGAATAGCCTCAGTAACCTAGTGGTTAGCAGCATAAGAAGAAAATCAGAGGGTCTTAGGAATGGAAGGGAGCTTGTCTGTCCATTAGTTTTCAGATCTCCAGCTGTTCCCTGGAGTTAGAGATACAGTCAATATCACAACCCAGTGTGTGCGTCCACACACATACACAGACACAGCTTTCATATATGAGTATATATATATATGTGTGTGTGTGTGTATATATATATATAATATATATATAATTTAAACCAGTTTCAAAAACAACAAATGCCCTTACTATATACAATGTACTTTGATTATTATTATCTTTTATTTTTTAGACAGAGTCTCACTGTTTCCTAGGCTCTAGTGCCAAGGCCTCAGCCCAGCTCAGTGAAACCTCAAACTGCTCAGTTTAGCTGATCCTCATGCCTCAGCCACTGGAGTAGCTGGGACTACAGCTGTCTGCTACAGTGCCCAGCTCATTTTTTTTTTTGAGACATAGTCTCACTTTGTCACCCACAGTAGAGTGCAGTGATATCATAGCTCACAGCAATGTCAGACTCTTGGGCTCAAGTGATTCTCTTGCCTCAGGCTCCTGAGTAGCTGGGATAATAGATGCCCACCACAACACCAGGCTATTTTTAGAGACTGGGTCTCACTCTGGCTCAGGCTGGTCTTGAACCTGTGAGCTCAGGCAACCCACCTGCCTTGGCCTCCCAGAGTGCTAGAATTACAGATGTGAGCCACCGTACTCAGCCCCCAGATAATTTTTCTATTTTTTATAGATATCGAGTCTTACTCTTGCTCAACGTGGTCTCAAACTCCTCAGCTCGAGCAATCCTTCTGCCTTAGCCTCCAAGAGTACTTGGGATTACAAGTGTGAGCCACTGCACTTGTCCCCATTTTGATTTTTTAAAATGTATTCTACTTCATTAAAAAAATACTGGTCACAAACCAATATATTAATTTTACTTAACCTAAAACACTTCCCTAATGAATCATTAGAAAACAGAGGCTCAGCGAGGTACAGTGATTCTCTCTGGGTAACACAGTAGCCAGGATTTAAGGCTTTTTAGTACACTGGCAGGTTTTGTTTTAAAAGGTATATGGCAAAAATTTAAAAGATTCTCCCCCAGTCTCCTCCTGTGGGTGGTACATTGTATTGAAAACAACAACACAAACAAAAGAAACGAACAACAAAGTGCTTGTGTAATTATTTCTATGTAGCAATCATTTAAAACTTAGGTTCCATGTCCCCACTTCAACTTCTCTCCTTGTATCTCTAGGGGTTTCCAGGCCAAATACAAATGTTCAGTGTAGCAGTAAAGGCTCTTCCAGACCTGGTCCCCACCCTGCCAGCCAGCTTCATTCTTCGCCACTTACCCATATGCACCTTTGAGATTTTTCCTCCATTCCTTTTTTTGAGAGGTGGGGAGAAGACAGAATCTCACTCTGTCATCCTTGGTAGAGTGCTGGGGCATCATCATAGCTCACAGCAATCTCAAACTCTTGGGCTTAAGAGATCCTTTTGATTCAGCCTCCAAGTAGCTGGAACTACAGGTGTTCACCATAATGCCAGTTAATTTTTTTTTTTTTGAGACAGAGCCTAAAGTTGTCGCCCTGGGTAGAGTACCATGGCATCACAGCTCACAGCAACCTCCAACTCCTGGGCTTAAGCAATTCTCTTGCCTCATTCTCCCAAGTAGCTGGGACTACAGACACCCACTACAATGCCTGGCTATTTTTTGGTTGTAATTGTCATTGTTGTTTGGTATGCCCAGGCTGGGTTCAAAGCCGCCAGCTCCAGTATATGTGGCTGGCGGCTTGGCTACTTGAGCGACAGGCGTCGAGCCTAATTTTTCTATTTTTATAGAGAAGGGATTCTCTCTCTTGCTCAGGCTGGTCTTGAACCCGTGAGCTTAGGCAATCCACTCACCTCAACCTCCCAGAGTGCTAGGATTATAGGTGCCTACTGTTTCCTCCACTCTTGACTTAGCTAAATCCTAAGTTTTTCGAGACCCCATTCCCCTTCTTCTTCTGCAAAGCCTCTGTGACACATCTCCCACGTCTGCCCCAGCATACATCCTAGTGGCCCCGCGTCTTCCTCTGGTTTGTCTTCTCCAGGGGACTGTGGCATCTTATGAGCCAGGGTGTCTACCCATCTGCTGTGGCACCTAGCCTCTTGTTCAGCCCATAAGAGGAACTTGAAAAATATCTGTTGAAGCAAATATTTTCATGTTCTTACTCTCAAATTTTAATACTAAGAAAACTTCTTTGGAATATCTGCTTTCAGAGTTATTTAAGAGCTGGTTTTGACAATGCAGAACTCTATTTTCCTAGTATCTTGAGAGTAGGAATAAAATCCACTATATTTATCATGGAGGAAATGGATGTGAAAACCTAGTTTTTACTTTTTTTCTCTTAATATTAGTAAGTTTTGTTGGGGGTTAATTTTGCTTTTTAACCTCTAGCTTGCAGGCTAGTACCCGCTGATCAACTCAGCTGTTATTTCTGCCACCAGTCACTCAAAGAGCTTGCCCAGCCCTGGAATCCCCAAACTGAGGGCCTTCTGTCTACTTAGGAGAGGCACAAAGCAACTCCCCTGTGCATGTCACCACGGGGCATAGTACAAGCTTGTTATCATCTGAAATTACTTCCTACCTACCCATCACAGGACTGGGGTATCCACCAGTGGGGCTGAGGTGGTCAGAGGGGTCACGGAAAGTAGGGTGGGAATTAGGTAGGGAAGGAAGCACGGCCAGGTGGGAAGGAGCATGGGTAATGGTTAGATGAGGATGCAGAGGAGAAGACTTCCTGGATCAGAGAGCTTACTTGGCACTGAGGTCTCTGGCACGCAAGAGCTAGGAAGGAGCAGGGCCATCATCCACTGTCACCTTTCCTCCTTGTGTCACTATGTTAGTTATAAAGCATATTCTATTTTATGTATCATTTTGATCTCTATACCCTTGCCAAGTAAGCCCCATAAATATTGTGGGCTTTATTTTATAGTAATACAGTAAAACCTCACTAGTTGACCACATCCATTCATTGACCACCTCCTTAAGTTGGCCTAATTTTCACAGACTCGACATGCACCACATGTACTATCAGTACAGTTAGCCTAGTTCCTTATGTTGACCACCTCTGTACGCTGACCAGTTGGTTACAGCTCCTTGGGTAGTCAACTTACAGAGGTTCTACTACAGTTCAAAAAGGAGATTAAGAAGACTGGCCCAAGTCACAGCTTGTGGGTAGCCAGACTCACAGTCTAAGTCTCTGGACCTCTTCCTATTTTACACTGCCAAGATTTCTACCTAGCCTCAGATGATACACAGCCAAATTTCCCCCATTTTACAAATAAAGAAACTGAAGACCAAAGAGGTGAAGCAATTTTTCTAAGGTTATACAAAAGCAGAGTTTAGAAGGTTAGCTGGTAGCAACCAACCAGCCTCATTTCTGACAGAAGGTGTTTGGCATTATATTATTAAATAGCTGGGGAGAAAATGAGGAGGAAAACACCCTCATATTGTTGAGAAAGAACTGTTACTTGACCGAACAAAATGTTTTCCAATGAGAGAACACTGTCATAGTATAACTGTGTTTTTAAAAATGAAATTCTTTATCAACCAAAATTGTAAAGTTTTTTCAAGTGAAAAAAATTCTTAAAAGCAATAAGTCTGCCTGAGGAGATGGAGCTTTCTAGTGAGGAAGACCTCCACATTTACAAAAACTCTTCCGAACTTTTTCTGCCACTGACAAATTTTTAAGTCTTAATCAATCAGAGGAGAAAATGTTTTTAAACTTAAAAAGAGAAAAACTCCAAAATGTTGGCCCCAACCTAACAGACTATCATCTCAGAATTTGTTAGCAAAGGATAACTAATATTCTCAGACAAGTACATCATTCAAATGACATGTTATTACAATTTTTTTTTTCATGCCAGAAATGACTTGGCTTGAGAAATGACTTGCTGAGAAATCTGTGTTTACGTTAGGGAGAGTGGGGGGAAATCCCTTGCAGAAGTTGAAAAGATGTTAAGTGGTAAATACCAAAATGCCCAGCAAGCATATAAGCAGACTCTCCTCCTAGCATGAATATGTGCAGCTCAGCGTTTTAAAATTTACTTTTAGCTTTTCCAGCAGTTTGAGTTAACCCTTTCTTTACTTCCACTCCCTTTCTGAGTTCAGCTCTCCCTTGAAGATGTGGACAGGGGAGGCTGTCACAGTGCTCCAGGAGTCACCAGTGAATGAGGCCCTCACCCTAACTGGTTTCCCACCAGTGGGCCACCTTGTGAATAAATGCCTCCCAAACTTCCTAAGCATCCATTTCATGCCTCAGCAAAACTAGGAAGCAAGTCCAGCTTGCACAGAATTGGAAAAGGCCTATCGGAAAAAGCTATGCACACCAAGCTCAGTAAAGGTACAACCACATCAGAGGTTCTCCAGGGAGTGTGTGTAGCAGAGTTCTCTGGAGCTGTTGTAGGTGGCCCCAGCATCTGCAGTTGTAAAAAGACCCTCAGGTGATTCTAAAGGACATTCCTCAATGAAAGACACACATCTAGATCCTCTCAAGAGCCAAGAACTTTTCTGTCTTAGTTTCAGGGCCTAGCAAATTGAAATGAAAATTAAAACAAGTAAACAAAACAGAAAATTCTTCAAAATTAGGGTCATGTTAATACTTCACTGGTTATTAACACTCTTTACAGACTGAGCAAATAACAATCGCAGACAAGGTAACCATTTAAGGGGTATTTGTATAATACTTTGTAATATTTTCCCAGGCATTAACAATCACATGTGGTTCTCACAGAAACCCTATGAGTTAGCTTGTTATTCCCAAATTAAAGATGAAGAAATAAGTCTTGCAGATGTGAAGATTTGCTCAAGATCCCTCATATAGTAGAGTAGAGCCATTTGTGAGTTTGACAAGAAGAGTGACACAATGACTATTGTTTAGTTACTATAGGTAAAAAGAATCGTTAATGTTTAAATACTTCCTATCTAGTTACTATGCCATACTTTGCTTGTTAAAACACACTACCTCACAATAAAATATTGATTGTATTTTCCTTATTCTGTATTATCTATTTGCACACACCCACATACATGCACGCGCACATACACATTTGGAATAAAACCCAAATAATCTATCATTCTTGAGTTTGATTGTGGGAAAATAAGATTGGTTATATTTATATCACTAATTTCAGGGATGTGTAAATCCTGTGTTTTAATTTCATACATCTTACATTGAAAAGAGTATACAAATCAATTTCTCTATCAATCTCAATATCAGAAAAAAGGGAAGGGAAGTGCCTAGCCTAGAAAAAAATGACAATTAGTGCCCTAATGATGTCAGTATATCTAGTATTACTAAATTAGGTTCATTTTTTTTTGTTATTTATAGTAAGTTGTATCTTTGAAGTGTTTTTTCTAAACATTCAGTACATTGTATATCAAATATCAGTTGCTGCAGCCATTTGCTTCTGAGGGAAAAACAATCCATGTCAAATCTTGGTGAGATGAAATATTGCATAGTATTGGTCTTATAAAACAGCTGGCCAGGGAAACTTTTGGTACGTTTCATGTTGCAATTTCTAAGTTCAAATGAAGAATCTGAAGAAGAAGAAGAAAACAAAAGCCAAGAGAATAAAAGGTTAATTGCACAGTAAGACTTACCTCAAGAATATCAATTCTAGAATAAAGCCATCCACTCCTGTAATTGGGTGAGAACTACTTACAGCAAGGCCAAAAGCTTCCTAAATGATCACGTAGGGCATTGGAAAACTAATAAACAAGTCAGGTTTCAGCTCAGTAAAGAGCAAAGCAAATTTTGCATCTGGGGAGAGGGGGAGCCCAGCAAGGACGAGTCTAACAACAAAACATTAAATCCAGGCTTTGCTTTTTACCTTGGTCAGTCCACATTTCGTTCACCCTGTGAGGTGGCTTCAGCATAACTCAGAGGTAGATTCAGCCCAACAACTGGCCCTACGATGCTCAGCCATGACGTGATGTAGTTGACGTGCCTGTAAAACAAGTGAATACAGGCCATGCGAGTGTTTCCACTGTAGTCTTTGGGTGAATGGTAGAAAATTGACAATATCAGAAATGAGGCTTTCTTTAAAGATGTGTGCCCACCACTTGGAAGCCCATCGTTTCTGAATGTCAGCCCCTCTTTGCCCAGAGAGACTGTGAGGGTCATTCACTAAGGTAGGTGAAAATGAAGTAAGGCACTGCGGCTTCTGACTTCCCCTGATGATTCTAATTTCACCCATGAATTACACAGCTTTTAGTAAGGCAATGAGGTAAGGATGCCTGGATTTGAATCCCAGTTCCACCACTTAACCAGCTGTGTGACCTTGGCCGAGTCACTCAACTCCTCTGTGCTTTAGCTTCCTCCTCTGTAAACCGGGTGAAACCATGATACTTAGCACACAGGGTGTTATAAAAATCCAATGTGTTACTCCATCTAAAACTCACCTAGCATACAGTAAAGATCAATAAGTGTTAGCCATTACTATCATTACCAAGAATATTTCCCTTTCTGCATAGCTTTTAGAGTCACATAAAAAGATTTATACCATTAAAATCAGAGAAACCAATGTGTCTTGCTGGTGTTTCTTACCTATTGATTTTCTGAGAATTCTTTAATATAGGAGTCATGAATTCATTCGTCTTGCAGGGATGAAGTATAAAAAAGGGCTGCCCGAGTATTGGATGTTCCTGTAAGAATCACAGTGGGTCCGGGATTGAAAAAGTTAAAATAAATAATCTGGTTTACTCCTTTGAAATAAATGTTTGTTTTAAATTCCAAGTTATTAATTGAATATGCAAGTCTATTTTGAAATATAATTTATAATCTGAACATGAGAAGAAGTTAGCACATAGGAGCTATTCACTGATAAAGTGTAATAATGTAGTTGAGTACAGTATAGTAGGAGGCACGGTTTTGCCTACATGATGCAAACCATATATTTTATCAGTTCCCTTTGTTGGCTTATAAGTATTATTCAGTTTTTCCTTCAAGGATGTTCATCGAGCCCAGTAGCTTGATCCCCTGAACAGCACACTTCATTCACCTCTTTGTCAATGGTAAAGGAACCAAAATCATTCACATATTTCTTTACACAAATTTTGTCAACATGTTGTTTCAGGCATAACTGTGTCTAGGACCAATAGGGACATATTCAGTGAGTAGAGAGGGTGGGGCACAGCGTTGTTCTACTGTCTTCTCTCTCTCCCTTTCTCTTTTTGCCTGTTTCTCTCCTTCCGTCTTTCTCAATGCTATAGGGCCATTTCTAAAAGTTAAGAGCTCATATAACATAACTCCGCTCCCTTTATAAGGGAGTAATTGGATAGAAGGTATAGGTCAGACTGCTCCCAGATTAGGGATGGGGATGTCACTCAGCAAGCAATAGGGAGACAGAGCAGGTCTCTAGGTAATCTGTGCCAAATTCTACCAACACAAAAGCAATAATCAATGATACATTATTGACCGTTTATATCGTGAATTAACTACTAGGCCAGAAACTGTAAACTCAAATACCTGTGAAGACCAGGGAGGTGAGCTAAGGGGTTAATGCCAGTTAAATACACCAGCAGGTGAAAGGGACCGTGGGGACCTGGAGGGGGTCACCTGTAGCGCTACCTGCTACTCTGCTCCAGTCAACTGTGCCACGGGGGAGTGCAAGGGCAGCACACCAGACCTGCCTGCTTGTGAAAATAACCTAGAAAACCCTAAGTTATCGTAAAATCTCCTAAATGTAGATGTTGGTACATTTTTTTGAACATAGGTAGGCCAAATGTAACAGATTTCTAGGCTGGGTTTAGACTAGGGGCTGCCTAGCTGCTTCTCTTGGCTTCTGCTCCTGTTGCCAGCCCAAGGAGAAGCTGCACTTGGAGCTGGTCACAGGAAGAACTTTGTGGCTGTCCCTGCTGCCTCACCCCTTGGTCTGTGCACACATCAATGTTCCACTGGTGCTGGTGACACTGCGTGTGGAGGTTGGTTGGGGTGGGGGTGAGGGAGGAGTTCCCCACTAGGTGCAGATTGTTGTATGTATCTGGCATTTTTAGCACCACCTGCCATTTTCTTTCTCCCTGAGGCCATCTCCAGTGTCTCTGACCAGTGACCTGACTCTTCTAGCAAGCACTCCTTTCATCTCTCCAGCTCTCTTCCCACCCTCATTCCCAGTTCTAACCGGGCCCCACGACACAGCCCAGATGGGTTGTGCCTACATTAAGTTCTCCTGTCCAACCTTGTCTGGTTTTTGTTATCTGCTTTAAACAAATATTTATTAATTCAACACATACTCACAGATCATCAGCTTTCATGTGTCTTTCAGAAACAGTTCCAGTTATAGAGACTACTGTACAGTTCAGATATGGATATAGAGGCTACTGCATTGCTAAGACAAACACAGTTTCCGATCCTATGGAGCTTAGATCCCAGAGCAGGAAATAGCCAATAAACATATAGAGCAAATAAACAAACAAGATAATCCAGATCATAATAAGTGCTAGGGAGGAAACTAAACAAGGCAACAAGAATTGGAGGGATGGTGGTGACATTGGCTTTGGTGAGAAGGTTAGCTTTCACTGAAGAGGTGGTGCGATGGACTGAAAGTGTCTGCAACTCCCCACCCCCAAAGTCCAAGTTGAAATCCCATTGGTATTAGAAGGTGGGGCACTTGGGAGGGACTAAGTCATGGGGTGAAGCCCTTATGAACGGATCTGTACCCTTATAAAAGACACCCCAAGGACCTTCTCACCCTTTGCCCACCACAGAAAAGACACAGTGAGAAGACAGCATCTAGGGGACCAGAAACAGGCCCTCAGCAGACACTGGATCTGCCAGCACCCTGACCTTGGATTACACAACCTTCAGAACTGTAAGGAATACATGTCTGTTGTTTCAGCCACCCAGTTTGTGGCAGCTAGACAGGACCAAGGCAGGTGATATTTAATCAGAGATCAGAATGACAAGAGAAAAAACAACCATGAAGATTTCTAGGGACAGAGTGTTTAGGCAGAAGACCCCAAGGGGAAACAAGTACAGGAAATGTGCAGGGGATATGCAAAAAAATTTAAATGTAGTCTAAATTCTTTTTGGATGACATACATAGTTACCAGTGGAAGGAATATAGACCTATAATCCAATGTTAGTGATGTAAAGATGTATTACCTTCTTTAATAAAATGAAACCCAGGCTTCCAAGGCTGCATAGAATGGAAACATTCATAATGAGGGGGATCGGCCCAATCTCAGAGCCTCCACTCTCTCCCAAACTCGCTCTCCTTTTGGTGTCTTGTACCCAAGAGGTATATACACACTTAGAGTTCGGGGGCCATTCTCTCAGAGCAGACTTAAGACCATGTCACGTTGTAGCTGCTCATTTGATGCTGCTAAGTAGACTTAAACTTCACTTTGTAAGTCACCTTTTGCTCATCCCATAAAACAAATGAGTTAGAGCATGCATCACTGTTTGGGGTCAAGTCCTGCCCCACTGCTTAGCCAGCTGTGCGCTTCTGGGAAAACCATTCAGTCATTTTATGTCTCTGTTTCCTCATCTGGTAATTGGGGCTAAGAGTAGCATCTGCCTCATGGATTGATTGTGACGCATCAATGAGATAGTACCAGAAAAGTACATTGGACAGTACCTGACACACAGCAAATTCTTAGTTGGCTATTAATGTTCAACCTACTGATGTCTAAACAGACAAGGTAATAGCAAGCCATTCAGAACATAGTCTTACAATGTCTATAATAAAATCCAATATCAAAATCTAAAAGCAGGAAGTTCCTCTAGATTTTATAGCATATTAAGAACATCACTGACTAGTGTTTGATTATAATTGAAGGGAAGAGATGTCTGAATTAGTAAAAGGTCTAAGTCTATATGACAACTAGAACTATCAATATATTTGTATTCAGGTTTAAAGCCAAATAAGTGGAAAATAATTCAAATGAATTTAAATTAAAATAAAAGCTTAGGCACTTCAAAAACACTTCAGTAATCTACCACATTTTAATATTCATTTTTCCTCAAACAACATAAAAACAGTGATATTAGCATTTGGGGTTATATTCCAATAAAATAAAATGCATGGTGATACTCATGTGGAATACTTTTTAAAATAATTGAGACTTTCATGCCTTAGGAGAGCATTTAGAATAGCATGAGTATTTCTCTAATGCAGATTTAGCCATCTGAAAAAAAAACTTTATCCTTTACTATATTGAGACCTTATATTTATATTGAAATGATGGTCTTTAAGAACCACAAGTTTAAATTTAAATTGGATTTTTAGAATTAAAACTACATTGTTTTGGTAAAATGCTTTTGGTTTAAAAGGATCAAGCTATGATGTGTTGATCAGCTTAAAATAGGGATTATAAGATATACTTACGTAATCTTTTAAGAAAGATTTCTTATATAAATAACAGGAGTGGACTTCCAGCTGTGGCAGAATGAAGAGGTCAGCAAATCCTCTCCCCAGAAAATAAGTATAAAACTGAACAAAATTGTCAAAAACAAACCATTTCTGGGCTCTGGAAACCAACCAAGGGCAAATAAACCTGTGAGAAGTGTTTAATTTATGATATGCTGCTAGAACTTCAAGTTAGAAACCAAGAGAATCTGCAGCTTTCTTTCCTAGAAATACTTCCATATCCCTCCCACCCCAAACTCCAATCCCACCCCAATCCCAGGCCCATCGACAGAGAAGTTTTACCAGAGCAGGGCTGGCTTTAAGCACCAACACTTGTAACGCCAGGGGGGCTGACAGTGAAAACTACTGCTCAGCAGCACTGCCAATAAAAATAGCAAAACAGGTACTAAATGAAAAGGAAAAAAACCACAGCTCTGCTGGCCAGAGGTTGAGGTCCCAACTGAGGCAAGCAGCATGCCAGCCAGAAGTTTAATGGGGAGATTCTGAAAATGAGATAGTCACAGAAGCTCTAGGTAAGTTCTCCAGGAATCCCTGGCTGACAGGAAAGGGTTGAGCAGAGAAGAGATAAGAAGATGTGATGGGAAGTAAAAGCTGAAGTCAACTTAAATAATGCCTGAATTTTGAGTGTGTTCCCAACTCACACATATGTCTATAAACAAGAGAAGAAAGCTGTACAGGCTTGAGGTATTTTCCACAACTTCTATCTAGTTATTGGCTCACCTAAAAGCTATGCAGACATAGTTGAAAACCCTTGAGGAAGGCAGGTTAAAAAATAAAATAAGAGGGCGGCACCTGTAACTCAAAGGAGTAGGGTGCTGGCCCCATATGCTGGAGGTGGCGGGTTCAAACCCAGCCCCGGCCAAAAACTGCAATAAATAAATAAATAAATAAAATAAGAATAAAAAATATTAAAGATATCAGTGGCTACACTTACATAAGAGAAAATTATGCAGATAAAGCCTAGGGAGGTTACTAAAACAAATAAACAAAAACAACAGCAGCAACAAGAAAAAGACAATCCTCAGGAGAAAAATTACAATCCTGAATTTCCACTCTATATTATACAAAATGTCTAGTTTTCAAAGAAATTTTGAGACATGCAAAGAAACCAAAAAGTATGATACATACAAGTACTGTATCATTAATACAGACTGACCCTGAGTGAGCCCTGATATTTTATTTACAAAGAATCCAAAGGAGGTATTGTAAATATGTTCAAAGAATTAAATATAACTATGTTTAAAGAATTAAAAGGGAAAAATTATGGAAATGACT